ACGTACGAAAATACTAAAAAAGATTATTCAAGACAAATGGTAAGTAAATGATAAAATGTAAATAAGTGAATGACTTGAAAGTGATATAGAAGTACGAACACACATTATACAGTATTCTATTTTGTACAATTATACTGGGTGGCAAAATGAACAAACAATCAAAATTTCAATATGGTTGAAACAACGTACAGGGGAAGATACAGGTCTTCTTTTTTTATTGTTATCCTGTTGTTAGCTCCAATTCTTTAAGTGATATTTTTAGATAATATATGCTTCCCGTGAATGTGGAATTTAATAATATTCACTAATTATTCAGTTATTTCTTGTTTCTAAGAACTATCCAATGGATTCCATTTTATTTGGAATTTGGATGGTGTCACTTTTTATATTTCGGTATTTTTAAATTATAGCGTGATAACTATCATGAGCGTGTTTTCTGATTTTATAATTTCAAGGTTGCTTAATCTTACGTCCATAAAGTCTGAAGTTTAATTAATTTTTTTTTGGCTTTGAGATAATTTTTTTTTTAATTATTCAATGAAACGAGCATTCATTATAAGAATTTTTTCTTAAATAATATTATTGATTGTACTGTATATATTAGTTTTTTGCATTTGGATAAAAAAATGTACCTAATACTGATACGGTTTCCCCATATTACGAATTCTCAATCAAAGTAATACCCTTTAGTTTCAACACGAACATAGTTTTATATAAATATAGAAAGTCAAAATAAAGACGAAAACACAATTGAATGAAATTGAAGCATATTTATCTTGTGTAAACCTGGTCGTGTTTCGACCAATCCTGGCGAAGCAAGCAGACAACTTTCAATTCTACCCTTTATAGATATTAAACAACATGTACCTATATGTTTTCTGGATATGTTTGTTTTGGTTGCTTTCCTTGTATAAGTTTAGAGAGTTCTAGGCAAAAGTAAGATTAAAGCTAGTAGAACTATGGTTTTCATTAGTTAAAAATGAATTACAAACAAACAAACAACAAGCAAAAAATACAACAAATCATGACACAAGTAGTAATAATTCTAATCTATAAATAAGAAGAATGGTTTGGACTCATAGACAGAATGTAATATTACGAAACAAGTGTATAATTCTAGGTTACAAGAGAGAAACAAGCTACAGATGCGGCATCGGGAACATGAGGAATAAAAAAGGGATAGAAATATAACACAAGAAATACTTTTTAGATATAGGAAGTAGGTATACTGTTAAACGTGATTTTGCCCACTTAATAAATAAAATGTATGTCTGTTTATCTACTTATAGGTGGCAAATTTTTTTATATCGGTGATGTCATCAATTTTTTGGTATGTTGTTTCTTTGTCGCTTTGGATATTCTATTTGTTATCAAGGTGAGGTTAAATAAGTTAAATATGTCAGAATTTTAATTTCTAAATAAATTAACTTATGACAAAATTAAAACATAAAAATATTGAAATCAGCTTTGCGCTTTGGAGTTTTGATAAATAATGATATCAAATTTTAGTAATGATGATCCGGCAATATTTCTAATTTGTTATACAATTAATTATTTAACTTGTAAATAAATTAAATATCTTCATAATTTTACATAATTTATTATTTATTGGTTACACATATCTATTTTCAATCAGTTAATTACAACCAGCAACAATTTTAATTCATTAGCCATGTACAACTACAAATGGATATACTGACAAACGAAAACATAGATACAAAAAGCTGTGAAAATTCCGATACTTATTGACAAGTCTATGGGACCAAAATAATCGAAAATAAAACCGAATATCAGGAAATTATCATTAACAAAAAGACCGAAAGATGAGTCAAAGGGTTTATACCGATAACGAACAGGATTGCACTTATGAAATTAAACGCCATGCCAACAAACAGAGGGAGAAATAGAGCTTTTACGATGAAGTGGACAAAAGACTGGAAGAACCCTAAAAAGTAGGAAAAAAAAGAGATGGAAAAGTAGTAGGCGAATATGGATTAGGGACACGTAATGAGAGAGAAGAGAGGTTAGTTCAGTTTTGCACGGAGAACGAACTCATTATCAAGAACACATGATACACATGATGATGATGAGAACATAAAGAAATCAGATTGACTACATCATTATCAACCCCGATTTCGTAACGCCGTACGAAGAACAAATACACACGGAAGTTCAGAGAGTAGGACAAGTACAACTTAACGCTACAGAAAAATGGAGACAGTTAAAGAAGATCTTTGAAAACATCATACAACAACAACTGGTGGGTGATACATTCCCTAAAAGCAAACAATTAATAACACAAGAAATATGAAATAGGAAAATACAAAAATAAAAACAAACAACAATACAAAAGCGTAAATAAAACAATCAAACAAAAAATCAAAGAAGGAAAGGAATTGTGGTTATCAGAAAAATGTGCAGAAATAGAAAGATTAGAAAAGATTTAACATATACAGGAAAATTAGAGAAACAACTGGCAGATATAAAAAAAGTACTATTGGAAACATAATGGACAAAGTAGAGACAAAATAAATGTATGGGAAAAATATATAAAAGAGCTATTTGAAAGCGACCAAATAATGAAGACAATATAATCAAGAAATAGAAATGGACCTACGATTACCAAAGGGGAAATTGAAAACGCACTAAAACTCATAAAAAATGATAAAGCCATGCGACCAAATTAAATACCTACATACAAAAGGCTACCAACAGAGAACCACGTTGATATACTAGTAGAATTATTCAATGAAATTTACTGCACCGGGGAAATTCCAAAAAACCCAATGCAATGAAATGTGTGAAAGGCTTGGGCACTAGACAATCATTATTATACACTTGTACAAACACATACAAATACTCATATGCCATCTGTGACGTATTCATATGTCTAGTTGATCTTGGAAAAGTCTTCGGCAAAATATAACACAAAAAACTTACAAAGATATTACGCAACACAGAAATAGATGATCAGGATGTGAAAATCATTACAAGTTTATACCGATATCTAAATTGAAAATCTAAAATCTAAAGAGATACTTATAAGAAGTAAAATCTGTTTAATATGTGCTCAGAACACATGTTTAAAGAGGCACTAGAAGACATCAATGAAGGCATATCAATTAACGAAACACTAGGGAATAATCTCCGATATGCAGACGATACAATACTCCTTGAGGACAGCATAAAAAGACTGCAAATTTTGGTTGACCGCACTACGCAGTACTGTAAGAGGTATGGAATAGCTCTGAACACAAAAAAAAACAAAAATCATGATTTTCATTAAGAACATAATTGCAGACGTAACAATCTACGTTAAAGGAAATGAAACGACACATTAAGATGGCCAGAAGCACTTTCAATAAGATAAAGCAGTATTATGCAATAGAAAACTGGGAATAGAAATTGGAACTAGAGTATTGAGATGCTACGTATTCTCTATTCTTTTATATGGAATTAAAGCGTAGACAATTTGAGATGTGGTGTTGCCGAAGAATGTGTAAAATGTCATGGAAACAACACGTAAAAATCACGGTTAACATTACCACAGATAAAAAAAAGAAATACTCAACGCTATGAAGGAAGGAAAAATGAGCTGCTTTGATGAGTTAATTTATCATTGATTCATTAATAAAAAGAATCAGGAAATCAGTTCGTATTAGGTACACTAAGCAATGCTGAAACACTCAATTTTTTTCCATAAATACTAAATTCCAATAATTCGCTAAAGTAACTATAAACTATGACATTAAAAAAGTGATTTTTACAAACTACAACTACAAAATGATTTTTCTATAAGGATGATCGAAGGTAAATTCTATCCACAATTCAAGGATGAGTCTCAATTGGCGCTTTGTGGCAAAATTTGATGTTGAAAAAAATAGATTACTTGATTACATACTTTCCTTAATTCTTTCTTTGCTTCTGCTTCTTTCTCTGTTTATTCTTTTTTTTTAATGTAATATCATTTAATTATATAAAACCTTGTAATGCAATATATAATACTGAAGTGATTCCCACAGACTGGCTCAAGTCTATCTCTATTGCTAAAATCTCTAAAACACATTGCTAGGAAATGCTCACAACATCGATTAATTGGCCTGATGAGCCCCACTCGTGGTTCATTAGGCACACCAAATATTCGTAAAAAAACTTCACAACAGCATTAGGCGTAAACGCTTTGGATCTCTAAGAAACTCAATTTGGTTTTAGAAATAATATGGAATCTGGGGAGGTTTTTTTTTGTGCTAAATATTTTATTACAAAAATACAAAAAATGCCCTGATAAAAAAATATGTATTTGCATGCTTTGTGGAGTTCGAAGGAGGAAAAGGCATTCGATAAAGTACCACATGTAAAATTAATGCAGGTGCTAAAAAATATAGGAATATATGACAAAGATATCCGTGTCATTACAAATCTGTATTGGAATCAAACTGCTCTCGTAAACATTGGAGATAACTATGGAAATAATGGTTAAGTGCTATGTTTGGTCTGTGCTCTTATATGAAGCTGACGTGTGGACCCTAAAAGTATCAAGCATGAAGCGAATTGAAGCGTTAGAAATAACGAGGAAGTAGTAAGGAGGATAAAAAAAATATAGAGAATTACCAAGGACTGTTAAAACACCTGAAAGTCTTAGCTGAGACATATATTGAGGGGAAATCGATATAGGATACTTATTATTTCTTGCTTATCTCAATAGCAGTTACCTTTGACGATTTTGATTTAGACCGGAAGATTCACTGACTAAGAATATTTGAGCCTACACAAAGTACTTTGTAGAGTTGGATAACTGTAAATAAATAATAGATATCTATAAGGTTTACCTATAACTAGCTATATTCATATTTTATCATTTATTTGCTCAAAACTAACCAAATTAATACCCACTATATAAAACAAAGTACGTCAATGGCCATATATTTTTTGTGTTAATTTTTTTGTTGTGAAAAAAGAAGCCGCAAAATAAAATATCGCTTTGTTTTAATGTGTGGTACATACACTGAACAGGTTCAGTTGTAATAACTAGTTAATTAAAAATAATTTTGAAAACTCTTATATTTTGATAGTGTTATATTAATAGCACCGAAAAAATTTAAATCTTCTCGAATTTGATTAAAACATGAAATCAGGATTCTATAGACATGTATGCAAAGATAGCTGGTACAGGTGAGATGAAAAATAATACTTTGTTGGAACATTTATGTGGTGTTTTTATAATTTAAGTAAACCATTTAGGGTGTTTAATATTTTGTCGCCATCGCCGTAATTATGAAATTTTAAAATGTTGGAGTTTCTAGTATTTTTCATATTATTTATTAATTTATCCATATTTTTTTTAAAACCCTGTTATTTGGTTAGGTTAGCGAATATAACAGATCTAGGCAACACATTTTACAGCATACAAATTGAATGAATGTGATGGATTGGAGAGATTTAATAGAAATGTTAATATTCATTAAATGTCAGTTATTTTTTAAAGTTTAAAATATTTTCAGTATGTAGTGACACTGTTGATAAAGATGCTAATAATCTTTAAAATCAAGATAGAAAATGGCTTTTAAAAAATTTATGGATTAGTGGCTTGTAAACAAAATGAATTATTTTTCCGAAAATGTATTTTCCAGTATTTTAAACACTTATTGAAGATAATTCAGCTGTCTTCCACCGCACCTCTTATTCTGTATTAAAACTATGGTATCTAATATAAATAAAAATGTAAGTACCTATTGGAGATTTACAGTAGAAGAGTTTCATCCGATCATCATTGACGATTTATGTAATTTTAGTAAATTGTAATTATTATTGTTATTTTTTTTTTCTCAGAATTTAAAATTCTCAGATGCTCAATATTTGCTTACAAAGGTATTTTTAGAATGTTTTATTGCTTTTTTCTTTCTAGTAGGTGGAGTAGTAGAGTAGATAAAGTTTAGTATCCATACTACATTTCACGAATTTGCGATTATTTCGTATTAAGGACGAAAACTTTTACGCTGTATTGAGAAAGTTAATAGTAAATTCTCCCAATATTTGAAGACAAGCAAAAATACGATTTTAACTGATAATGTATTTTACATTCATTTAGAAAAATATATAATTATTAGTGCAAAAATAAAGGAAAATTACAAATTGTATTGTTTCTAAATTGGAGTGGTAAACAAAAAAATTACCATAATACTTAAAATTTTTCTTAATAAAAAAATTGTTTTGGGCGGGCCTACTGATCTTCTACCGTCTGGTCTCTCAAAAATCACTGTCTTAAGCACTCTGTCTTGCTCTGATTTTATCCGGTTAGCTTTTATATGTCTGAAGATGTTTTCAGTTCCATACAGTCACAGATTCAGCATTGAGGCGCTTTCTCTACTCTCCTGTCAATTCATGTATTTGATGTCCAAATATCATTCTGTTGTTCCAGAGTTTTTACCTTGTTTAGGCTATTGCCTCTTCAAGGAAGGGGTACTCCTTTTTTGGATTAATGGTAGTGTGGTAAACGAAATGTTTATTGTATTAGTGGATGAGTAGTGGACTACTAAGAAGCAGGGGGGGAGGTTCAGAAGATGACGTGTCTGTGTGGACGATTGTAAGGAGCGCACTAGAGGAATGTGGGAGAACTTTGCCAAGCATGTCAGACGAGGTACTTCAGGGGTCACCAGCCATACAGTAGGAACGGCTCTTAATCAGCGTTTTTGGCGTGCAGCAGTTCTTAGGGCATGCGTCCTGCTGAGGGATAGGATTCTGTCCTTAATTGGTGGAATATTAGCCAGTGTAAAATATCATTCTGAGAACCTTCCTTTTAAATACTAGCAACTTATTAATTTCCAGCCGATATAGAGTTTCACTCTACATCGAGATGTTTCACTGACCACATGTAACAACTGGGCGAATATTTGACAGTCCTAATTTAGATTTTCTTTTTAGCAGCTTAGATCTTAATAATTATGATAGGGAGCATATCAGCTATCCTTGCTGAGACCTCTTTTTCTATGTGGTTGTTATCTGTGATTACCGTCCCCAGATATTTAAACTCTTTTACTACTTCGCAGTTGTGGTTAGTCATAGTTATGTTATGCCTAAATCTTGTGTAATTTTCACGCATCCAATATTCTTCTATTTTTTACTTCTAACTTTTCACATTTCCCCACTTTTTCTCAAATTACAGGACTAGCAATATTCTATGCTTCTTGTCATATTTTAAAAACTGCTGCGTCACTGTAACCATGACGTCCAATATAGTTATCGTAATAAGTTTTGCATATTCCCCAAACATGTTTACTAGGATTGAATTCACAGTAGTAAGGGGAAAGTCTTAACACAATATGTTAACAACTGTACATAATCTCGTCTACTATAAATAGTTTTGATTTTTCATTCCTTTTGACTAACTATAGTATTTCCTGCTTGAAAGAATCCCGAGAGAATGAAATATTTTCATTCATATTTTATGACACACTTATTAGGGTATCATTAATTAGGCTGTTATTCTTTCAGAGGGCACTAATCAGAACCACATTAAATGCTAGGTAATAACTAATATGGTTATAACAAATATTTTGGAGGTAAACATAAAACAAAAGTAAACTATCTAATATCGAGCAAAAAAAGTAAAACTGCTAGGCAAGCAAACATTTCCGCGTAAAATGTGCATGCAAATATCTTATTACTGTAAAAAGAGATTATAAAAGGATTTTTTTAATTCAATTTAGAAATTACTTGTTTCATATTTTTATTACTAGAGCAATTTACTTTCGTACTTCTTATGCTGTACAGTAAAGTGGACCATGGGTTGTAGAGTGTTTATATAGCGATAATCCAAAATAGTCGCAAATTCGTGATATTGCTTTTAGTACAATTATTAAAATCTATAAATGATTTTGACATTTATTATAACATTTTTTATATACAATATGAATTTCTTTTGATATGATACGTAGAAAGAAATTGTATATTCTTGTTGTATTGTAAAAACCCCATAGATCGAGTGTTAAAATTTTTATTTAAAACATGTATTTTTTTCACCAATTATATAATGTAGAATTTTTTATCGGAGTTATATTGTTTTTAAAATATTAATAATGTAAACTTCAAATATTAATAGATTTTATTTTAATCGTTGTCAAGAATCAAAGTCAAACATGATTAGGCGAATGAAACCATGATTTCGCAGTCAATATCCTAACCACACACACAAACATGTATTTTTAATTGAAAAAATAATTCTTGTTTCCTCAACTCATTAGATTTCTCTTTAATTTTTATGTCTTTTATTTAAATGTTTTAATATGCTTCTGAAATTATTTGTTTGTGGCATTTCTATTTCTAATTATTATTTGACGTCTCGATTGCTCCCTTAAGATGGTTAATGAATAATGCAGATAAAATTAAATTAGAATTTTTTTTTTGCCAATTATTAAAGAAAATAAGTTGTTTAATTGTTGTAATCATACGTCAAATATAACGAATGTTTAAGTAATATGGTGGTTTATAATCATTAAAACATTAGATAGCATATTTTTTGTCTCGATAAATGTAGCCAATGTATACACAGATGTTTTATAGCATTGAAACTCCTTGGCATTGTCATAGAAACCGAAGGGTTAACTATTTTTATATATTCCTTTACACTTTCTCATCATTTGTCTCCCTAATTGTACAGTAAACAGACAGCAAAATGTACTAAGCGAGTTCTTGGTTTTATCTAGTGTTTGATCTTACAGAGACTTGTTAGTCGCTTGGCGCTATTCGTGATTATAGCGACCTGTACCGGGTCACCTTCACAATGCCGCGAGTCCACGCGCCGGTTAGCACTAACACGTGAGTACTGACTAAATACGAGACCTGGTAGTACCGGAGCTTACTTCCGAAAACATCAAAGTTCATCCTAGTAAATATAAGGCCTTTTATAGGTTAAACGTAAGGTTTAAACTAAATACTATCCGAACTGATCAAATTAAAGAAATTAATTTTTTTACAAGCTACTTTGAAAATCATTGTAAACTAAAATAATTATATATCTACCTTCTTTATTATGGTATTTATAGGTTTTCATGTTTTTCGTCTTAAATCAGTTTTTCATTATTATATATCGTTTTCTTTATGATTTTTTTTTTGTATTAATAACCATTTTAGATTTTACGTTTTTAGCAGCGACTTTTTTCTAAGATCTTGGTCTACAATTAAACTTAATTGTTTGGTAAGAGTTAGTTATTATTTGAATTCCGTCTATTCTAATTTAATCCGTCTGATAGTTTTTAATAAAAACGGCGAAACAAGCTCTTCGACTGTAGTTTTATCACCGGTTGTATCATCTATCCTAATAACACTATAAATTTACTATAATGTTCCTTCATTCATACTAGTTATATGTATGTACCGCTGGAAAATATAGCTCTTATGAAAAATGTTAAATCGGTCGGTTAAGTTTTCTTGTAGACCATTTCTACTGTTGTATGTTATCTCCAATTTTCTTTATTATTTCCCAAATAAAAGTCAGACACGTATGTATCGTTGGATAAAAAAATAGTTCATTAATAATAGTACTTGCATTTAAGATGGCTTTACTCGATTTGAAATCACAACGAGGATAAGAATTTTGGATTTTCTTCAAATGTTCACTATATGTAATGAATATAATATATTTTTCTGACAATTTTTTTAATAATAATTAATAATTGAATAAAATAACAGAAATGTTACATTAATAATAAAATGAGGAAAAGAATGCATAAAGAAAGACTTACAATTTAGACGTAGGTAATTACAGTCACATTAGGATGAAGGTAATATTCCCCCCATAGCAAGACAAATAACTAGATTTACTCTATAGAACAATAATTTTGTAGACCTGGATTCCATCAGTTATAAGAGTGGTGTCCACAGGTCGTGTAGATTGGATGCTAAACTTCATTATCTCTAAAGGCAGAATTACGTATATACTCGTTGATCAGAATAACTTTAGCTATTATACTTATATTTGCAATGTCCAAAAAACTTATTAAATAGTGATTATAGCTAATAAAAATATTGAATCTTGTTTAGTTCATCACTACTGACAATATCTAACTTTTGTACATGTTGATCAGGAAACCATCATTTTGTTCAGGTTGAAATGTAATTAGTTTTGAAAAATTTTATGAAAAGTAGAAATATCTATGCTAAATTTGACTTGTACTATATGTGATTTAATGAAATATGACAATAGAAAAGAGAAAGAGGAACAACACTATAATTGGAATGTTGTTAATATATTTATGTTGACTTGCGAATTTAGTCTAAGAATAGATATTTTAAACTTCAGGTAAAATAAATTGCTAACATTTTTTTATAGCTACCACAATTTGTTTTTGTTTTTAAAAATTATCAAGTAGAATTAAAAATGAACCAATTGATTGGTGCTTACCTGTTCAATGTACTCACGAAATCAATATATGTATTGCTTCATTATTTACATATCTAGTTGAGATAATTGACTACATAAACATAACCAAGCTATTAATTAATATAATCATAGTTGGGTTTAAGCACCTGTTAAGAAAAAATGGTAATAAAATAAAAGAATCGCCCGAAGTGAACAGAAAGTTCATTAAAAATGTAAAACAATATATTTATGTAAATTTGTCATGAAGTAAGTAGTCAAAACGTGCGAGCACTGTGATAGAATTCACAACCGGAATAATCACCTACTCAATCATATAAGTATTTTAAATGAACAAAATGATAGTGAGACAGTTTCAGAGTATGACATTATAACCCCACTATTAGGTCCACATATGACGTAAGATATTTGTTACAGGGCAGGGTCCCAGGCCGGAGGCATCCTAACTTCGCAGCTGAAGGCAACCAATGGCTTGGTGAGTGGGGCGGGTTTGGAGTTGGCGACCCCGCCCCTCAGCGCAGCCGGTCAACTTAATTCTCAAGAGTTGCAAGGTTTATTTATTAATCCGCACGTCGGCTATACGCAGCCTGCGGCAGCGGGACAGAATTTGCAAATCGTAAAGCGGGAACCCGAGGATTTAAGTCATCATCGAAAATTGGATTGTAGTTCACCGAGTTCGGGAAGCATTGACGGTTCAATAATCATCCCTAAGCTTTCGAGACCTAAGGTGAATAAAAAATAGTGTAATCTGTGCTTACTATTTAAATATTAGATATTACTGATTTCTTCGACTTGAGTTAGTGACATGTGCTTCATTTATGGATTGCTGTGATTTAATAACATCCCATGATAAATGATATATTTTGCATGGCCTTTTTAAATGGGGATTTTTGTGAATATGTTTGCTTTTTAATGCTAATTTTCTTTTTTTTTTTCTCTACTTGTCTTTTTGTTTTTCATATTAACAGTAGTGCATGAATTGTAGATTGTAGTAAAGTAGGTTAGATCTAGGGCCCACGCTGGGCAGCAGGCATGACGCTAACATCCCTTGGTGGTTATAGGTCGTGCTGGTGTCCTCCGCCGTTGGTCAGTCCGGTGATCTGGTAGTAGATGTCAACTCAATCAAAGACGAGAGTCATCACGGACTCACATCACCACAACACGGTTCCAGATCCATAAATGGGACTCCTACGTCTACACACAGTAGTCTTCTAGCAGACAGTTCAAGTACAGGGCCAATCGAATTCATATCTGCGAATGGCCTCAAACCAGCGATGTATACAACGCAGATATTCGCCTCCATGAGCAGCGCGCCTCACAGTGGTGGTAGTGGTACACCTTCGCCCATTCCCTATACCGACCATGTTCAATATAGTACTCAAAGTTCGTTAGCTGGTGGAAGTATCAGTGGTAACACTACCATTTATTCTTCCACCGGTAGACCGAGTAGTTCAACGACGTTTTCTGCGACTGATCCTTATTACCGTGAATACTTCACTGTAGCATCTGGAGCAGGAACTCCGGAACCAATTTATTCTACTCAACTGCGAAATAACCAATTAGCGTACGCAGATGAGGCAGCTACTGGTGGGACAACAGCAAGTTTTGTCGAAAGATATGTTCGTCAATCGACTTATCATGGAAAAGGTGTCATAGCTGCCGCCGGTCTCACCGTTGATCTCCCAAGTCCGGATAGTGGAATAGGCGCAGATGCCATCACGCCACGTGATCAGAATACGCTGCAGCAGGTGAGCCCTAGACCTACTTCAAATAAAACTCGTAAAAAAGTATTTTGTTGGAGTGTCAATGCAGAAAGTGCGAAAAACACGATTCATGTGAATTTTTGAATGCTCTTCTTTCTTATAACACACTAGTTTTCATGTTACATAAATGCTTATTCACTCATTAAATCATTCGTGTCATTCGCATCACTGCATTGCATTTCACAAAATGTACCTACCGTTTTTAATCTTTTTTTGTTATTGTTTCAGTCATTTGATTATGCTGAATTGTGCCAGACCAATTCTTCCTTGTTGGATCCTCTTTCGTTATCTCAACGAAGCAATAGCAGTGCCCAGTCTCCAGGGAATCAAACGACTAGTAGGAGCCGCCCATGGCATGATTTTGGCAGACAAAATGATGCTGATAAAATACAAATTCCTAAAATGTAAGTTAGTGAACAATTCCTCTATTTTAAAGTGTGAAACAGTTTTTTTTTTAATTACATAGAAATGCATGCAGTGAATAATATAATGTATGTACCTAAATGATTCAAACTTGTTTTAATAGTATCTAAAACGGGATAGTATTAAATTACTTGTTTGAATGTAGTGAAAAACACCTTGAACCGGACAAACTAGATTTGGCCAATGGCTCTAAGAGTACCTGATGTTATACAATGTATAACAGTTGTATTATATGTGTTACACTACTACTGTTAAACGAGTTTTGGTAATTCAAACGTATTGTCATTTTTTCATATTCGGAATTTTATTATATGTCACTTGAAATTACCTGTTTAATTTTTATTTCCCGAGGCCATCGGGTCAAATGCGAACTACCTGACCACTTTTGTGAACGGACAGGATATAAACAAGTTTGTTCAATATCGTTATCTTTCAACTAACAGTACCGTTTAGATACAACTTAACGACATACTGTTGCAGAGTTATAGTGATACTGACACTTCGCGGGTTAAATGTATCGGCAATTGTTAACCGATATATACTTGTTACAGATTCTCTCCCGTCGGTTTTAAGTACCATCTAGAGACGCCAATATCCACGTCGCAAAGACGGGAAGACGATAGGATTACTTACATAAATAAAGGGCAATTCTATGGAATTACACTGGAATATCTACCTGATCCTGATAAACAGCTCAAATCCCAGACGGTCAAAGTGAGTACACAAATAAGTTTAATAAGTATTATTTTTTTTCTGGTTCATTTTAATTTAATTTACACCTTACTACGAATAAAAAAACCAGCAGGTAAATACCCTCTTGATTTTCATATATTGATACATTACTTTAGGTAAATCTTTTTAACCAAGTTACAAAACTTCTTCCTTCATATAAAAATTTATTATGTTTTTGTTTTTCCTCTCAAAAATGTTTTTAAAACAAAAACATGCAGTGTAACAATCATAAAATGTTGGTAATTATATAATAAAATCTTATCTCTAATAATCCGTTTCCTCTTGTAATACTTCGTTCATATTTATACTAGATTTTTATATATTTAACATATTCAAATTATATATTAATTTTGAGCCGTATTCCTTATGAGGACAAGATGAAAAGATTTTAGTTGAATATTGGATTAAGGGAGTATGTTTCAATTGTTTGTACTTTGGAGATGGTTGGATTATCCTAGTGAAAGAGATTTTTTGTGAAAGAAGGAATTTTACTTGGTCAAGAAGATTAGAATAATATTTTACATACATTGTTTCAACGTTGTGTGAGAATCACTCCAGTGTTAGATATATATTGCATTAAAAAGTTTTACTACTACTTTTATGTTATCTTCATCTATTAGCTTCAGCAACTAGGTGTATCATCTGGACCAGAAGCTTTTTTAATTGTAGCATATTTTATGGCGTATTCTACTTTGATTTCGTAATTTCTGAGCCGTCAGTACAATTTTGGTAGCATTTGGTAATATTATTTTTTTAGTTTTCAAACAACTCTGATATATACAGTTGCTATTCTCTTCTTATTCTGTTCTCTCATTTACAATAATTTTGTTGTTATTGTCAACTAATACAGAGGGAACTCGTCTTTTAAATATGTTGCAATAGCTTGATACTGAATGCTTAAACTACTGATTTGGTTCATGTGTGTGAAGTGACACAATTTTATCAACCGTAACAAGTCGACTCAGAAAGTCTGTGAGATTCTTCTTTAGACAACTCCAAACAATATTAGGAAGTGTAGAACGAAAATAACCTTTCTTCTGAAAGGCTTCCAGGCTTAGCTATGTCCTTACCGTCCTTACGTGTACCATCTTCACCATATTTCAAAGTTTCTTGTCAATTTGTTTATTATTGAAAACAAAGGTACATATTTAGTCATCTTCACCAAGTTTGGATATGTTCATTAACAATAAACGATATCAAATGAACACTTTTATGATGAAATAGTCGGTTTTTCATATTGTCAAAGCACACCATACGCTTACTTTAAACAATTGTATAAAGAAAATGTTTGCCTGATTAAATTAAGACGAATGAACTGTAACGTACTTTTCGGAGAATTCTGTTTACAGCTTCCATATAATATTGAATCATGCAATACATACAGCATGAAATCACACATCTTTTATGGGTGAGAAACCAAGCAGTCATATTCAATCAATATTCAATCATTGTTCGAAGAAAACGAATTTGCCAGATTTATTACAGAATTATACAGGGTGTTGCTAGGTCAATGGAAGTTGCTAAATGTCTGCAAATCATTGACGCGAATTCGGACAATCAATTTTATCCATTTTATATCCAATTTGTACCATCTCTACTACCTGGAGACTTTTTTCGCTCTACTTTTTCGCCAATGGATTCTTCATCAAATCGATCAATTTCATAATTTTTATATTGGTATTTTGTTTACTTACGACGTTACTTTTGTACGACATTGTATACGAAATTTTCATATCAATCACTTACGGGTTGAGAAAAATTCTTGGATTGATTCAAGGAATCCCATGAAATCTTTGAAGTTCATTGTCAGCACCCGCTTTTAGTAAATATGGCTTGGAGTGATTGATGTTCATTTATTGAGTCCATATTTCCCCCCACAATAAATAATAGGCGAATATTACCTTAGTTTTCTAGGCTAAGAGTTACATAATTTTTTTTAAGAAAATTCTCTACAACTAAGACAACACCTATGATTCATGCATGATGGCGCACCTGCCCATTTTAGCATTATTATAACTTACATACAGTATATCCAAATCATTGGATGTGTAGGAAAGTTACAAAACATTGGCCTGCCGGATCACCGGATTTAAATCCTCTATATGTTTGCATTTGGGGTTTTCTTGGGAATAGAATAGTCTTGGGGAGTGAAGAATAATGGTGTGAACATTATTTTAACCGTTTACAATCTAATATAAAAGTCAGTGCATTAACGTTTGAATGAGGGCTTAATGTAGTCAGATGTATAGATAAAACTCAAGTACACCTGTGTGAACACCTCATAAAGATCCATTTAGACAAGTGTGGTGTGTTGATGAATATTGTGTTTCCCTGTTTTGAAGGCCTTGTCAATTGTAATCTATTTCACTTTCTGATCTAAAAATTTCTGATCTTATAGTCAGTTATCTGGTATCTTCATCAGGACACCAACGTCCTTATTTCCAGCATGGATCAGTCCGCTCCCTTAAATTGAAATCTTCTAATATCGACCTCGTGTCCTATCATTTTAAAATTTAAGTTTCCAAATTTTTCGATGTGACTAGTTTTAATTACTAATAAGATGTAAGTATTTACCACATGTTTCAGTTTAACAGTTAACATTAAACTCCTTCGTATTAATAATATTAACGTGGAAATATTTACTTTTTTAATTTTTAATCCTTTTCTATAATATTAAATTTTATAATACACAGTTTTATTAGTTATTATTGTTTTATTAGTGTAAGTGTAAGAGTAAACAAGTAAGAGTGATATTATAAAAGTGTGTATTTCGTAACGGTGGTGGTATGGTGTTTACGCATATATCAATTTCATTGTGTCATGCGTGAATTAGAACAATTAGATCAGACAATTATAGATTGAATGATCAAACAGGCGAGCCTTCGATGTAAATCACCATACAATAGATTCTAGATGTTTATTATAATTGCAAATCATATTCTTATTTTCTAATATAATCATTAGGTAGATTATACACTTCTAATTCCCTTAAGATACTAATTCTGCATTAAATACGTGGACAGAAAATAATAGTTATTAATCTTAAAAATCAATTTATGCCTGGTCATTAAATTTACAAATACGAATATTATACATTGATTTTTTTTCCTAGAAAAAACACTTTTATCACTTCTCTCTCACACTTAGTTATTCCAATTATTGTTATTTTCTTTTTTTCTTACGCACATGAACCCACGTTCGCAAAGAACATTAAATTACAAATTGCTTAACCCTCTGTTTTATGGATGATTACCTGTTTTAAAAGATTTAAATATTTTAAACAATACTGCACAAGAGTGAAAAACCTGTCTATATTGTATACCTATACATATTTTTGTGACGAAACGCTAAAGAGAATAATGTTCCCATTTAAGATTTCAAAAGTTTCCCGCCGCCCCACACCCAGGGGTGTTTGATGTCATTCTATAGATTTGTGAAAAATATTGAATATTTGACCGTTCCGCTTCTGTTGGCTCATCCGGTATATTAAATGTAGCCTTCAAGTCTATAAATAGTAAATTTACTTCTTTTCCGGTTTTTAGAGTCCTTATGTTTCTGAGAATATGTATGTTATCATTTGCTTGCTCACCAACCGCATATTATGTGGCTTGTTCATCTTCTAATTTTTTGTCTTATTTCCCTTAATCTTTCCTCCAGTATTCTTGTAGGGACTTTAAAAGTTTTTTTGTTCAAATGCAAATAATTTTGTATGTATTATGTACTTTTCCCATTTATTTGTAATTTTTCCTGTTTTTCACTTTTCTCGTAGTATTCCCAAAAACTGTTTTTCTTCCTCACGGCCTAAGAATTTCATACTTTCGGGTTAAATTCGATTACTATTTCATAATTCCCTCATGTTTTCCCAACTATATCTTCTATTTCAAATTTGTTAGTAAATACTATATTATTTGTTTTATTTTTAATTCTATATATCTGTTTACTCTCTCGCTTTTAAATATCTTACCGTATTTGACAGTATATTTGTTACATATCTGATTTATGACATTTCCAAAATCACTTTTGGCCCTGAAAATGAATTATATCTCATCGGAAATTATAACATTAAATAGAAATGACGATAGATTATTTTTGTTTTCATTTTCTGTCATCAAATGTCCATTAAGGTAAATTTGGGTTTCTTACAATTTTTAACAATTAAAGTTAATGATTTAGCGATCAAGTTGCAATTAATACCTGATAGGGAATATTGCTTTCTGTTTTTCATAACATCAAATTTTACTTTAGATTGAAAATATTCCATCAATATAAATAGGTGCAATTATATTACTTTAGGCCATGCGGCATTTGCTGAACATTTACCGCTTTATTTTGTGAACGGATCTACTTGTGGAGAAAAATTATGACATGAAAAGGCCATTATGTATGTATTGGGTCAAAATTAAATAAAGGAAATAACAATACTTCATAAATAAATAACAGTTACTGTCAATAATTTTCATAATTTTCATAATTGTCATAATTTTCCAAAAGTAAATAGCTATATCCAGTTATATCGTTGTGGGCCGTATTCCGCATAACATCTGGCCTCATAAAAAACCAAATTCGTCCATCATATGGCTCTACAGCCCAATTATAGCCTTGGCCTCCCTTATCAAATCTCTCCGTCCGTCTTCCGTTACGGTCTGTAGTCATTCTCCTCTATGATTGACTGTGAAGGTGAGGTGAAGATTTTTTGAGTCCTCATCCAGAATATCCCCCCATTGCTTCCTCAGTCTTCCAATAGGTCTCTTCCCCTGCATTCTAGCATTCAACAGTTTTTTGGAAGCCTGTTTTCTTCCATCCTAAAACGTGGCCTGCCTATTGAAGACTCTGTAGGCGGGCATATTGAGATAAAGGTGGTTATATATGTTTAATCATTGTATCTGATTTGCCACCTGTTGTTCTCATTTATAGTGTCTAGTATTCGTCTCAGTACCTTTTTTTTTTCATGCAGTTTACAGATTTTTGTGTCAATATCCAAG